CAAAGGCTGAGGCAAGAGGATTGTCATGGTTAATTTAAGGCAGTCTGTGCAATGTAGTGAAAACTTGCATCACAATAAAAAATAAATGGGGGGCTGGAGAGATGGCTCAGAGGTTAACAGCACTGGCTGTTCTTCCAGAGGTCCTGAGTTCAATTCCCAGGAACCACATGATGGCTCACATACATCTACAATGGGATCTGAAGCCCTCTTCTGGCCTGCAGGCAGAACACTCACTGTATACATAATAAATAAATAAATCTCTTAAAATAAATAAATATAAATATAAATATATAGGAATAATATATATAGGAAGGCCGGCAAGATGGCTCAGTGGGTAAAGGTACTTGTTGCCAAGCCTGATAGATGGATTTTGATTCCTGGAATCCACGTGGTAGAAGGAAAGAACAGATTTTGCAAATTGTATTAGACTTCCCCTTTTGCTGTGATCTGACCCAACAAACAAACTGTAGTTTAAAAAACAACAACTAGACATCATGGTCCATACCATAGCACTTGGGAGGCTGAGGCAGGATAAATATTACAAATGAGGCCATCCCAGGCAAGAAAGAAAGTAGATAGCAGGCCAATTGAGGCCCCGCCCAAAAAAAAACCAAAACCAACCAGAAAAAGATGGCTAGGGCTGTAGGTCAGTGGTAGAGCACTTGCCTAGCCTAGTATGTATCCTACCTTAGGTTCATAAGCTTAATCCTCAATACAAAATGCAAAAGAGAGTAAAGGCTCAATGAAGGACCATTCATTAGCCTAAATCTAAAAGAATGGACTCTTCAAGTAGGAGGTTGCAGAAGTTTAGGGAGATATGAAAAAGTTGGGTACTTCTAAAATAGGAACCTCAATTGGTAGAGTGTGTGCCTTCAAGCACAAAGCCCTGGCTTAATCTCTATCGTCATATAAGTGAGATATAGCACATACCTGTAATCCTAGTGCTCAGGAGGCAGAGGCAGGAGAATCACAATTTCAAGATCATCCTTGCTATATAAAGAGTACAAGGATACCCTGCTACATTAGACTGTCTGCTAAATTAATCAACTTAACAATAAATTACTTAATAGAATTCCCCCCTTTTGTTGTTATGGTTTGCCTCATATAACCCAGACTGACCAAGGATATCCTTAAATTCTTGATCTTCATGCCTCCACCTTCTAAGTGTTAGGACCACAGCCTACACCACCACGCCCAGCTAAATCAGGGAATTATTCTTCTTTTATGTGCGTGTGTACAATTTGTATGAATATGTGTGCAAGCACACTAGGGCACAAGCAGGACATGGTCTGCACGTGAAGGTCAGAGGTCAACCTCCAGTATCAGTTTTTACCCACTTTGGTTGAGCTGGGTTTCTTGGGTGTGTTTGCTTTCTTCCCCCACTGCATGCCAGCTGGCCCCAGCTGGCCCCAGGTTTCTGGCGATTCTCTGTCTCAGCCTTTCATCTCCCCACAGAAGCACTGGCTTATAATAGTATGTGCACCAAATCTGGCTTGATGTGAGTTCTGGGGGTTCCAACTCAGGTCCTCATGTTTGCATCACGTGCTTTACCTGCTCAATTACTCCTCAGCACAAACAGGGGACTCTCAAAATTAGAAGCCATATTTATTTTATTTTATTGAGACAAGTTCTCATGATGGGTGCCAAGGTTGGCTGGAACTCAATATATGACTCAGAATGACTTGGTCCTCCCCTCTGCAGAGACCACAGGAGAACACAAGTGTACTAGGGCCTCTGTGCTATAAGGGCAGAAGAGCCCAGGGCTTTGCTTAAACTAGGCAAGCACTCCACCCTCACCCCTCAGAACACGTATTTAAATCTTAGCATCTTACCTTCTGATGTCTCTTTAAATTTATCACTACTTTTTTTCTTCCTCCATTTCCATGGCTTGAAGATCTTGCCAAAACCTGAGAACTTGCTTTTTCTCTTGGTGGGAGGAGTTGTGTCTCCTGCTTCCACACCATCCAGGACCACGCCTGGATCTCCAGAGGGCTGCTCTGCTTCTTCTGTACATGGAGGAGAGCAGGGAGAAACGGCCAACTTATTAGTCCTGTATAACCTCTAAAAATGTCCCCTTTCTTCCTGCGGCAGCTGGAAAGGATGGGGCAATAATAAACAATCATGCAGACAAGTCACACTCCGGATATCGCATGGACAGCAAAGGTCCACTTTAGATCTCTATAGGAGCCAAACCAACCTGGATCACTTAAGAGAAAAATTCAGTGAAATGATGAGGACCACCAGGTCAACATTTTTAGCATATACAATGTAGATGTCCTCTCAGTATGCATGAGTTCTGTATCCCTGAAGCAGGGAATTCCATCACTAAGGAGTCACTGTTAAATAGTACTCCCTCCCAGAAGTTTCCAGGATTTAGATAGTTCAGGGGAGGGCACTTCATCAAGTGTTGACACCTTGGATCTGTTTATCAGATTTTTCTCTCCACACAAAAAAGACTCTGTATAACTTTGGGACTTAGTTTGGCGGGTGCATTAGAAAGAAGATGCTTTGAAATGAAGGGAAGTAGGGAGAGCAAAGGTGAGATTCTACTTTACCATCACCCTATTACTTAGGGAAACCCTTGATATTAAGGATTTAACACAAAACATGGCTGACCCAGTACAAGTTCAAAACTGAGATCAAAGGTCTCCAGGGCCTCACAAGGACAACATGTGCAGTGCTTTAATGGTAGAGAAAGCAGCAGCCAAGGGGCAGGGCAGGAAGGCAACAAAAAAGGCAGGAAAGCGACACAATGCAGCCTTGCACTCCACCTACTTTCCCAGGGTTCACTGGAGGAGTCTAAAGGAAAGAAAAAGCTCTGTGGACTCACTCCTGGGATGAAGGTGCAATTGCTGCTTTACAGAAATGCATCAATACACACATTTGTAAACTAATTCATTCTAGGAGCAAACAATGTTTGGGGGCAGGAAGAGTTTAACACATGCAATGAAGAAAAATTATCTCCTTTTAACACTCTAGGTTGGTGTTATTGATACTTTTCAATTACCACCCCGCCAAGACAGGGTTTCTCTGTGTAGCCCTGGCTGTCCTGGAACTCGCTCTGTAGACCAGGCTGGCCTCGAACTCACAGAGATCCGCCTGCCTCTGCCTCCCAGTGCTGGGATTAAAGGCGTGAGCCACCACGCCTGACAGAAACAGTGTTTTCTTTGCTTCTCTCTTCATATTTACCTAAATCTGTCAAATGTTTTAGAAGAACAGAACCTTAGTTCATGCAGTGGGGTGAAGCCACACCCAGCCCTGCATTTTATGTCCTCCAATTCATTCATCCATGTTAACATTTACTTATTCATCTATCTATCTTTGTATTTTTATGTTTTCTTGTTTTATGTGATAGGGTCTTAAGCAGCCTGGGCTGGGTTTGAATTTATTTGTAGCTGAGGATGACCCTGAACTCCTGATCCTCTATGGTCTTCCCTTCAAATGCAGGATTACAGGTGTGAGCCACCACATCCGGCTTTACTCATATTTCTATTCTTCCTCCTCTCCTCTCCCCTCCCTACTCTCAGTGACAAACTGCATATTATTTCAGTGACTCACATTTGTCCAAATATTTAGAATCAGCCCAACTGCCTTTATAATATACAAGATCTCCCGGAAGTGCAACCATGAATCTTTTTAAAACTCTCCAGCCAGGTGTGATGGCATCCGCCTATGATCTTAGCACCCAGGAGGCAAAAGCAGGAAGATCAAAAGTTCCAGGGCAGCTTGGGCTACACAGTGGAACCCTGTCTCAAAAACACAAGGGCAGGGCTGAAGCTCTTAAGTGTGGCACTGGCACACGGCCCTGCATGAAGCTGAGAAAAAGAAAAGACTAAATATTCAGGGGTCTCAGTCCAAACTTGTTACCCCATTGTTACCTCACACAAGTTAAAAGAGACACAGGCAGACCTTTCCTGGCTCAGACTTTTGCCTTTGTTGAGGAAGCTGTAAGACCCCATGCTGCAGAGCTTCTGCTCAGCAAGGCATTCCCACGGGGGCAGTGAGGTGCCTCCTGCCCTTGTGCTTCCCAGTCTCACTACATTCCAATTAAAAGGAAGAACAGGCCTGGTTGGTTGGTTTGTTTTTTGAAACAGGGTCTCTCTGTGCAGTCCTGGCTGTCCTGTAACTCTGTGTAGACCAATGGTTCTCAACCTGTGGGTCTCGATCCCTTTGGAGGGGGTCAAATGACCCTTTTATAGAGATCACCTAAGACCATCAGAAAACACAGGTACATTATGATTCATAACAGTAGCAAATTTGCAGTTATGAAGTAGCATCAAAAATAATTGTATGGTTGGGGGTCACCACAACATGAGGACCTGTATTAAAGGGCTGAAGCATTAGGAAGGCTGAGAACCACTGATGTAGATCAAACTTGTCTCAAACTCATCCACACTTACATTACGTTCCATATACACAACAGTGTGTGTTATTATACAAAATATGGTGGTGCACACCTATAATCTAGCATTTGGAAGGTTCAGGAAGGAGAATTACTTGAAGTTCAAGACCAGCCTGGGACAGAGTGAGTTCCAGGACACTGAACTATAGTAAGATCCTAAATCAAAAATAAAAAGGCCAAAGAGATGGTTCTGTGGGTAAAAGCTTGCTGAGCAAGCCTGAAGACTTAAGTTCTCTCACATAGTGGAAGGCGAGAACTGACTCCAAAATACAGCACACACTCCCACTAATAATAGACAAAATAAGGGGCTAGAGAGATGGCTCAGCAGTTAAGATCACTTATTGCTCTTTCAGAGGACGCAGGATCGAGTCCCAGCACCTACATGGTGGCTCATAAACATGTACAACTCTGGTTTCAGAGGATCAGATGCCCTCTTCTGACCTCCATAGGCATCAGTACACACATACAGTGCACATACTTACACATAGGGAAAACATACATATACATAAAAAAATAGATACTTTTTTTTAGAAAAATTAAAACAGTGTCTCATGAGCAGGACCCAATGGCTTACACTTATGATCCCAGCACTGTCACTATGGGGCTGAGGTTAGAGGATTACACGTTTAAGGGCAGCATGGGCTACGTATATAGCAAGCCTCACCTCAAAGCAGACAAACCTAAAACGATGTACATTACGTAGTGGTTGGGTGTAGTGTAGTGTTCTAAATATGCCAATCAGGTCAAGCTGGTTTATTGTGTTGCGCAATCATTAGCATCCTGTCTGGTGTGCTGTCGGCTTGTTCCATCAACTGCTAGGAGAGGCACAGTAACATCTCTAGCTATGAAAGAAATTTGTTCCTTTTTTGTGTGACAAGGTCTGTTGGATAATTGTAAATTTAGTTTTCTTCTTTTAAAAAAATTTAAAGAGCCAGATGGTGGTGGTGCACATCTTTAATCCCAGCACTAGTAAGGCAGAGGCAGGCAGATCTCTGTGAGTTCCAGGCCAGCCTGGTCTACAGAGTGAGTTCCAGGACAGCCAAGACTAAAACAGAGAAACCCTGTCTTGAAAAAAAAATTTTTTAAAGAAATTAACAGGTAAGGGTATTTTACCTTCATGTATGTCTGTGCACCGTGTGTTTGCCTGGTGCCTGAGGGGGCTAGAAAGAAGCTGTTGGATCCCTTTGGACTGAAGTTGCAGACAGTCGTGAGCCCTCAACTGTCTCTGGTCCTCTGGAAGAGCAGCCAGTGCTCTTAACCACTGAGCCATGTCTCACCCCTTTAATAAATTTTATTTAATTATGTGTGTGCACATGTGGTCATGTAGGTACCTGCAGAGCCCAGAGGAAAAGTATCAGATCCCTTGGAGCTGGTGTAATAGGAGGTTGTAAGCCACTTAATGGAGATGCTTTGAACCAAATTTGGGTCCTCTGCAAGAGCAGTACATTCTCTCTCTCTCTCTTTTTTTTTTAATTTTATTTTACAATACTATTCAGTTCTACATACCCGCCACAGATTCCCTTGTTCTCCCCCTTCCTGCCCCCCTCCCCTTCCCCCTAGCCCACCTCCCATTCCCACCTCCTCCAGAGCAAGGTCTCCCCCGAGGACTGAGATCAACCTGGTAGACTCAGTCCAGGCAGGTCCAGTCCCCTCCTCCCAGATTGAGCCAAGCGTCCCTGCATAAGTCCCAGGTTTCAAACAGCTAACTCATGCAA